CCCTTACCCCTCCCCCTACCCCTACCCCTAAACCTAACCCCTACCCCTACCCTACCCCTACCCCAACCTTAACCCTAACCCCTATCCCTAATCATATAACTATCTCTAACCCTACCCCTAACCCTAACCCTAAACCTTACCCCTAACCCTATCCTTAACCCTATTCTTAACCCAATCACTATCCCTAACCCTAACACTATCCCTAATCATATCCTTAACCTTATCCCTACTGCTAACTCTATCCCTAACCATATCTTTAACTCTAACCATATCCTTACCCCTATCCCTACCCCAACCGTGTCTCTAACCCTATCCCTTCCCTGAACCTGGTCTCCAGTCCCCTGCCCCCAGTCACAACCCCTTCCTGCCGTAGGTCACAATCCAACCCGCTGTGCCCCCTTCCTTCACTAACGTTCCCTCTAATTTTTTCAATCCACATGTAGCATAAATTTTATTATGCACACATGTGCGGATGTGCACCATCATTAGCAACACATTCCCCCAGTCAGAATTCTCTCCTGTGCCCATACCCTGCACCCCTTCCCAGACCCCCTCCAGCACCCCACTGCCCTACCGTGAATTCACCATATTCTTAACTCTAACCATATCCTTACCCCTATCCCTACCCCAACCGTGTCCCTAACCCTATCCCTTCCCTGAACCTGGTCTCCAGTCCCCTGCCCCCAGTCACAACCCCCTCCTGCCGTAGGTCACAATCCAACCCGCTGTGCTCCCTTCCTTCACTAAGGTTCCCTCTAATTTTTTCAATCCACATGTAGCATAAATTTTATTATGCACACATGTGCGGATGTGCACCATCATTAGCAACACATTCCCCCAGTCAGAATTCTCTCCTGTGCCCATACCCTGCACCACTTCCCAGACCCCCTCCAGCACCCCACTGCCCTACCGTGAATTCCCTGTGGCACCCAACCTCCATTCTACACCCCCGCACCTCCTCCATTCATATCATGGAAGCACGTGGCCCTTAAACACTTTCCAAATTCTTGGGTTCTGTGATTTTGTAGGCATCTACCAGGGATGGTCTAGACAGTGCTTGGTCCTGGTGGGAGAGCAGAGGACTGGATTTGATGACCTCTCAAGGTCCCTTCCAATTCTATAGACATCTATCAGGCATGGTCTAGATGGTGCTTGGTCTTGCCGGGAGAGCAGGGCACTGGATTTGATGACCTTTTGAGATCCCTTCCAGTTCTGAAGACATCTACCGGGGATGGTCTAGATGGTGCTTGGTCTTGCCGGGAGAGCAGGGCACTGGATTTGATGACCTTTTGAGGTCCCTTCCAGTTCTGTAGACATCTACCAGGGATGGTCTAGATGGTGCTTGGTCTTGCCGGGAGAGCAGGGCACTGGATTTGATGACCTTTTGAGGTCCCTTCCAGTTCTGTAGACATCTACCAGGGAAAGTCTAGATGGTGCTTGGTCTTGCTGGGAGAACAGGGGACTGGATTTGATGACCTCTCAAGGTCCTTTCCTGTTCTAGGGTTCTATGATTCTATAAGTCATATGGTCCACCACCCCTCTCATAATTTTTGTTGCCATGGCATATTGTTGGCAGATACTGCGTGGCTGACACAATGCTCTTGCAATTGCGTTGCGGAGGAGACGTCCTCTTCTGTGACTGACTCTCATCTACTTTTTCCTTGTGTTGTCCTCCAGGAAGCAAACTGCTGATGTTGGTGCTTTGCGTCCACATCCAGTGGGAAGTAGAGTCTTGCCCGGGGGCCTGCGTCTGCTACAGCGAACCCAAGATCACCATCAGTTGCCAGCAGCAAGGACTGACGGCCATCCCGACCGCCATCCCCACCCCGACGCAACGCATCTTCCTGCACAACAACCAGATCCCGTTGGTGCAGGCCACCAGCTTCCGCTCTTGCCGCAACATGACCATCCTTTGGATCCATTCCAACAACATCAGCCTCGTCGAGCTGGAGGAGTTGGACCTCAGCGACAACGTCAACTTGAAGGCCATCAACCCCACGACGTTCCAGGGCCTCGTTCACCTTCACACCTTACACCTCGATCGCTGCGGGCTCCTGGAACTCTCCACGGGGCTGTTCCGAGGGTTGTTCTCCTTGCAGTATCTCTACCTTCAGGAGAACAACCTCCAGAGCCTGCCGGACGACACGTTCCTCGATCTCGCCAACCTCACCTACCTGTTTTTGCACGGGAATAAAATTAAGAGCTTGTCGGAGAACGTCTTTCGTGGGCTGATCAACTTGGATCGGCTCCTGCTGCACCAGAACCGAGTCAGTCTGGTGGACCGGAAAGCGATGACCTTGTATCTCTTCAACAACAACTTGACCGTGCTCCCGGGAGAAACCATGGCCCCCTTGGTATCCCTCCAATACCTACGCTTGAACGGGAACCCGTGGATTTGCGACTGCCAGGCCCAATCCCTCTGGAGTTGGTTCAAACAATTCAAAGGTTCCTCGTCAGAGCTGGAGTGCCATCTACCGGCTCACTTGGCCGGCCGGGACCTCAAAAAGCTGCAGAGCAGCGACTTGGAAGAGTGTCTTGACTCTTTGAATCAGATACGAACCAGCGTCTTTAGCACAAAGACCCGATCGGGCAAACTTCCCACCACCGACCCTCCACTCAACTCCCGGAAGTGCTGCCAACCGGACACGGACAAATCTTTTATGTATGAAGCCAAGGGCAAGGCGGGTCCGTCTTCGCACAGCAGCCGGGCATCGTCCAACAACCCTCTCAAAGATAAAGAGAACATGTCCAAAACCAAATACGTCGACACGGACCCTTCCAAAAACGGGAGCAACAAACACATTAATGACTCCCCATTTGGGACTTTCCCCAGCGTTGTAGACCCTCCGTTGACCAAGCTGAGACCAGATTTCCTCGCGCCCATGGAATCGGCCACGGTCCCGACCAAAAAGAGGCAGGGGTGCTCTAAAAAAACCAAGTCCAAGGCGCAGTGTCGCCTCACCCAACAAGGAACCAGTGCCACGTTAGAACCAAGCCTACGTCTTCTGTTTCCCGTCTTGGCGTGGAGCTTAATGTTCTCCTAAACGCGACTGTTGGGTGACACTTTCATACCAGGATTTTGCTGACCTCCGGAAACGTTGCCAGAGGGAAGCCAATGGTGAGAGTCCCTCAAGAAAGTTTTGTTACACAAAAGTTAACTGGATGCCTTTATTAGACAAAAACCAAGATGTACATAATTTATTTGTCCTGAGTTATCCCTTTGGTCTTTGGAACGGCACTTACCTTCTGGCTTTTGCTACCACCGATGGTAAAGAAATATCATTTACAGACACACACACACGCAGAGAGAGAACAAAAAAACCCACACAAGCAACATCGTCCGGACGCAAAGGCTCCCGCAGGATTGTCGGCCGTCCGTTTGGAACTCACCCGTACGCTGAACGGCATTGCAAGCTCCCATTGGCCGAGGCGACGCCTCCGTTTACGAATACTGCCATTTTCCTGTGTTCATTTCCGCCACACCACGTCCCGGGGCGGCATTTGTTCAAGAATGCTGCGTTCGCCTCCATGAAGATTTGCAGTATCTCTAGATATGCATTTTCTTTTACTTGTGTACAAGTATACAAAAAGTATGAAATAAAGAGGTTCTTTTTTTCCTACGCTGTCGTCCTCTGCGAGACGCAATGGGCTGAGATTGCAGCAAAGGAGGTTGAGGTTGGACATTTGGGACAACTTAACTGTCTGGGTGGTGAAACACTGGAATAAATTGCCAAGGGAGGTTATAGAATCTCAGTCATTGGAGATATTGAAGAGCAGGTTGGATAGACATCGACCAGGGATGGTCTAGATGGGGCTGGGTCCTGCCGGGAGGGCAGGGGACGGGACTTGATGACCTCTCAAGATCCCTTCTAGTTCTATGATTCTGTAGACATCTACCAGGGATGGTCTAGATGAGGCTGGGTCCTGCCGGGAGGGCAGGGGACAGGACTTGATGATCTCTCAAGATCCATTCTAGTTCTATGATTCTGTAGACATCTACCAGGGATGGTCTAGATGGGGCTGGGTCCTGCCGGGAGGGCAGAGGAAGGGACTTGATGACCTCTGAAGATCCCTTCTAGTTCTATGATTCTGTAGACATCTACCAGGGATGGTCTAGGTAGTGCTTGGTCCTGCTGGGAGGGCAGGGGATGGGAATTAATGACTTCTTGAGGTCCCTTCCAATTCTAATGTTCTATGATTCTATAGACATCTTCCAGGGATGGTCTAGATGGTGCTTGGTCCTGCTGGGAGGGCAGGGGATGGGAATTAATGACTTCTTGAGGTCCCTTCCAATTCTAATGTTCTATGATTCTATAGACATCTTCCAGGGATGGTCTAGATGGTGCTTGGTCCTGCTGGGAGGGCAGGGGATGGGAATTAATGACTTCTTGAGGTCCCTTCCAATTCTAATGTTCTATGATTCTATAGACATCTTCCAGGGATGGTCTAGATGGTGCTTGGTCCTGCTGGGAGGGCAGGGGATGGGAATTAATGACTTCTTGAGGTCCCTTCCAATTCTAATGTTCTATGATTCTATAGACATCTTCCAGGGATGGTCTAGATGGTGGTTGGTCCTGCCATGAGGGTAGGGGTCAGGTCTGGATGGCCTCTTGAGGTCCCTTCCAATTCTATGATTCTATAGACATCAACCAGGGATGGTCTAGATGGGGCTTGGTGCTACCATGAGGGTAGGGGTTGGGACTTGATGACCTCTTGAGGTCCCTTCCAGTTCTAAGATGATGCTAGTCCACTGAAAAGCTTGTAAGATAGAAAGGGGTGACCTATTGCCAGGTGTTTCTCTAGCTTCCCTTCCCATCGATCCTCCCCGTCCCCTGACATCTCACACGTATTTCAAGATGCTCAGAAGAGCTGGAAATATTAACCCAGACAGCCTGCCCTTTCAACTCAAGTGTCCCAACTTGGGCGTAGGGATGAGGTCTAAGCAACCCTGAATGTTCACGGGTGTTCCAGGTGTACGCCGGTGGCCGGGGTAATGAGTGGTCTGTGAGCCCTATTAAACACCCGAGTCTTTAGCTGCTAGGATAGGGTCCCTTCGCAACGGGAAGCCAGGGAGGCTGACGGGCGCCCCAAGAGTCCGTCCCGTGGAGGCGACACGACTCGACACTTAGCTCTTACTGCGTTTACCCCGACCGGCTATGATTCTTTTCATTGTGTCTGGTTCTGTTACAGCAACAGAAGGCGTCAGGTTAAAGCTTAAACACAACGTCTACACTGGCATGATTTTCCGGAAATGCTTTGAACGGAAAAGTTTTCCGTGAAAAGCATTTTCGGAAAAGAGCATCTAGATTGGCAGGACACTTTTCCGCAAAAGCACTTTTTCGCGGAAAAGCGTCCGGGGCCAATCTAGACGCGCTTTTCCGCAAAAAAGCCCCGATCGCCATTTTCGCCATCGGAGCTTTTTTGAGGAAAACACGACAGGTGCTGTCTACACTGGCCCTTTTGCGCCAAAGTCTTTCGGAAAAAGACTTTTGCCCGAACGGGAGCAGCGTAGTTTTTCCGGAAAAGCATTGATGATTTTACAGGAGATCGTCAGTGCTTTTCCGGAAAATCAAGCGGCCAGTGTAGACAGCTGGCAAGTTTTTCCGGAAAAGCGGCTGATGTTCCGGAAAAACTTGCCAGTCTAGACACAGCCTTACAGGTTTATTTAAAGAAACTTATAATCATACGGTTACAATGGCTATTGCTCGACTTTTTAACTGCTAGCCAATACAGGTCTGAAGTGGTTACAAAGGAAGGAGAGAAAACAAAACACATCAAAATAATGGTACCAAAATGACAACTTAGCCTTATAGATCTCTAATGCTATACGTGCACAGTGACGAAAGAAAAGGACACATCCAGGTACAATTTTTACCCCCTTCTGCGTCTCTCGTTTCCAGAGTGCCAGGACCAGACCCTCAGTTTCTCGGAAAGACGAATACGAGGTGGGCGTGTGGAATCTCGGGAGGTGTCAACCGGTGGTTAAGGCAGTGCGTGGTGTGTGTTATACACCCGAGTCTTAAGAACATAAGACCAAAGGTCCTTCTAGCCCAGTATCCTGTCTGCCGACAGTGGCCAACACCAGGTGTCCCAGAGAGGGTGGACCGAAGACAACGATCAAGCAATTTGTCTCCCGCCATCCCTCTCCGGCCTCTGACAAACAAAGGCCAAGGACACCATTTCTATCCCCTGGCTAATAGCCTTTTATGGACCTAACCTCCATGAAATTATCTAGCTTCTCTTTAAACTCTATTATAATCCTAGACATTACAGCCTCCTCCGGCGAGGAGTTCCACAGGTTGACTACACGCTGTGTGACGAAGAACTTTCTTTTATTCGTTTTAAACCTGCTCCCCATTAATTTCATTTGGTGTCTTCTATTATGGGAACTAATAAATAACTTTTCTTTATCCGCCCTCTCCACACCACTCATGATTTTATAGACCTCTATCCTATCCCCCCTCCGTCTCCTCTTTTCCAAACTGAAAAGTCCCAGTCGTTTTAACCTCTCCTCGTATGGGACCCGTTCCAAACCCCGAATCATTTTAGTTGCCCTTTTCTGAACCCTTTCCAAGGCCAAAATATCTTTTTTGAGGTGAGGAGACCACATCTGTACACAGTATTCCAGATGTGGGCGTACCATAGCTTTATACAGGGGCAGTAAGATATTCTGGGTCTTATTTTCTATCCCTTTCTTAATCATTCCTAGCATCCTATTTGCCTTTTTGACCGCCGCTGCACACTGCGTGGAAGTTTTCCGAGAACTGTCCGCGATAACTCCAAGATCTCTTTCCTGATTTGTCGTAGCCAAATTAGCCCCCATCCTACTGTACGTATAGTTGGGGTTATTTTTCCCGATGTGCATTACTTTACACTTACCCACATTAAATTTCATTTGCCAATTTGTTGCCCAATCACACAGTTTGGTGAGATCTTCTTGGAGTGCTTTTTTGGAGTCGTCAACTGCTAGAACGTAAGGTTCCTTTCCAGCGGGTGGTCTGGAGAAGGCCGAAGGGTGCCCCAAAAGTTTTACGTCCGTGTCTTTGCCAGTGTAGACGTAGCCTTACAGGTTTATTAAAAAAAAAAGCTTATAAATCGTATGGTTACAATGGCTATGGCTCTATTTCTTAACTGCTAGCAAATATAGATCTGAAAAATGGTTACAAAGAAAATAAAGATAGAAAATAGAAATAACGGTACTAAGTAACAGCGTAATCTTACAAGAGCTCGAAGTCTATGAGGACACTTAAGACAAAAGACACATCCAGGTACAATTTTTACCCCCTTGTGTTCCTCTCGACTCTAGCGGGTCAAGCCAGAGCCGGTCCCTCAATTCCTAGGAAAGACGAATTCGAGGTGGGCGTCCCCGTGGAGGTCAATCACCTAACCCGACCAGCAGATCGATGGTAGATTGACGCTCAGAGTACGTGTGCTGCTGGACCCATCTTTATACCCATAGGGGCCTGTATCCTCTTTCTTAGTTAAGATGCCAAATTGTGTTGGTCCATCTTTGTGACGCCAGTTTCAACTTAATTTACACTTGCAAGAGAGAGAACTAAATTGGGAGTACGGGATATTTTTTACTGGACGGGAGATTCTTCTACCGGGACGGTTGTGTGATCGTATCGACATAGGTGCTAGCCAAGGGTAGTTTCTACAGCCTCTTGGTCAACGACTGGCTTGATCATCCTCTTCTCTAGGCTTACAGTTATCGAGGGTCACAATGAGCCAACCCATCCGGGTCTTTTGTCAAAGCTTCAAAGACTATGCTGATTTTACTGCTCTCTATGTCCCGTGTGCTCTGATGCATCTTAGAGGGGCAAGCAAGATGGATGTGTCTGGCGACACCAGGGGACTTTTTCTCCTCGGGCCTGTCCAAATAACCGAAATCCAGCCCGCGGGGAAAGAAATCGGTCTGCTAATACTCAGGAAAGGTTTCCAGAGCTCTGCCGTGTTCACACAGTTGGGTTTGATAACCAGAACGCATGGTTGCGGGTCCAAGCAAATAAACAGCGTTGTGGTCAAGCGATGGAGACATGTCAACGAGATCTTGGTGGCATCGTCTTGTTTTTGAAGGACTTCACTTACTCCGCCAGGCAGCTAACTTTGCCATCTCGATAATGGGTCTATTGCACTCTGGTGCTACAAAAACCGACACCGTGCGTAGGTCTAGACTACAGGGTTTTGTTGACAGAGGCTTTGTCGACAGATAGGGCGTGTCTAGAATACAGGGTTTTGTTGACAGAGGCTTTGTCGACAGATAGGGCGTGTCTAGAATACAGGGTTTTGTTGACAGAGGCTTTGTCGACAGATAGGGCGTGTCTAGAATACAGGGTTTTGTTGACAGAGGCTTTGTCGACAGATAGGGCGTGTCTAGAATACAGGGTTTTGTTGACAGAGGCTTTGTCGACAGATAGGGCGTGTCTAGAATACAGGGTTTTGTTGACAGAGGCTTTGTCGACAGATAGGGCGTGTCTAGAATACAGGGTTTTGTTGACAGAGGCTTTGTCGACAGATAGGGCGTGTCTAGAATACAGGGTTTTGTTGACAGAGGCTTTGTCGACAGATAGGGCGTGTCTAGAATACAGGGTTTTGTTGACAGAGGCTTTGTCGACAGATA